TCGAGTGAAATGGTGGTGGCTCAGTTTGATGAGGTTGCTGTAGGGACGACAGTGGAGTCCCTAGAAATTGAGTTCGACCAGGCCAAGTACGAAGAGTACTTGTCCTCCTCCTCCTCTGGTGGCGATGCGTCCCGCAAACGTCACAGAGTCGTGCGTCGAGGCCGACCTCAGACGGTCAAAGCCTCTGCACCTACGGGTTCTACCCGAGTCTCATCGGAAGAACCCGTTCCCTCACAATCGATCAACGCCAAGCCGGGGGTCGAGCGCAAAGGGCAAGGGTCTGCCAAATGGGTCGCCAAGCGATCCCCGCAGACACCTACCCCGAAGGGAACGCCGGTTCACTCCGGCACAAACCACGCTGCCACAGCTCGCGGTGACGTTCTCCCCGTTGGGAGAACTAACCAACAGCGGCGGCAGGAACTCGTCAGACAGGAGGTCCAAACCTCCGTTCCTCATAACGGCCTGAGCCATCATACGGGCCCGAGGAACGCTAGGCGAGAAGGCAAACTGCCCGACATTGGGAGGCCCTCCAAGTCAGGAGCGCCAACTGAGGAAGGCAGAGCCGCCCGCTCGGGAAGACTTCGCTTCTCAGGTCATATCCCTGATGCGAATAACTCACTTCCAAGGAGTGAGCCTACCCGAGTAGGCGAATCCTCGAAGGCTGGCGAGCCTCGTCATAACCATTTGACGGATAAACGTAAAGGTAGAGAAGTAGGCGAGTCCTCGCGAACCCGTTCTTCCAGGCGAAGGGGTGAAACCCGCCCACGTACTGGAGCTCGCTCAAACGCGAAGACTCGCCAGTCAAGGCGAGATCGCTCGACTCCAGCACCAAAGCATTCCATCCAACGCGCACCAGAGGGCGCACCCAAAAACCTCTCGTCGACTCACCAGAGCGACTCTTCTGAGGCCGGGGGTTGTCACCAACCGCCCGTAGAAGACCTCAGAGAATATTTAACTCGCAAACGCACTATCCATGAGGCGAATCCTCAGTGCCACTGCGAGAGACTCATCCACACGGTCCTCGCCGACTGTCAATGCGTCGGAACGGCGAGACCTTCGGTGTTTGGGAGACTGTCCCAACAGTCCTCTCGACCAAGGCCCTCCCGTCAAAGGCGCCGTCACCAAAAAAGACGCGCTGCCGATGACTTGGAACTCTCATCCGCCACGGTTAACATGACGGATAAAGGGAAGGCAGTACTCTCCGACTCGCCAGACTCGGATTCCGCCCTAAGACCTAACACTCGGTCCGCTCGACGCCGGCAGGAAGGCATATTCCAGCGAACCCGTAGTCACCGGGGGGTAAGTATTGGGTTTGACTATTCCAACCTAATACCTCCCTCCTGCGGCGAAGATGAGGACCATTCGGCCGCTGCCACATCTCAGACCTCGCGCTCAAGCCAAGACGCGCAGGCGAAGGCACACATGACCAATACCAACCACGAGCAGACACGACGCGCGCGCCACGCCGCACCGCACTCGGGTTTTGCTTCTCCAGCTTTTATTTTTTTGTAACGGCAGCATTTATTATGTAACGGCAGCATTTATTATGTAACGGCAGCGTGATTTACGCCCAACGGACGAGGAGATTCAGCATCGGTTACTGGTTCATGAGGCTATATAAGGAGGCAGAGTTCATTCGGGAAAACACACAGAAATTCACAAAGAATTTCATAGCTCCCTCTTCCTCCTTCTGCTACTCTTAGTACTCAAAGATTTTCGGCTACATATTTTGAGGATTATTTTTGGGCAATCATCTTCATCTGAGCAGAAGCTCTGCTACTCGCGCCCGAGTAGAGAGGCCGGCCGTTTCCGGGGGGCTTTTACCGCTAGGGGGGAGGATCAACTACGCCAGGGCGACAGGCGGGGCCTCTATCTTCTAGGGCAGTGTATCACGACTGCACCCCGTTCAGGCCTGATTTTTCATAACTCATTTATTTTCAGTTAAACTAATATTGTTTATTTTGATAGCAATGTGCCTACCAACTAGGGGTGCATTCGGTTCGAATATGATGCTTACCATATCTATATCCGTTTACTCATCTCGTATACAGGTACGGTACAGATATATCTCGGTAAGGAAAATTCATAACCATATCCGCTAAAATCGGATACGGTTACGGATATACATGGGGATACGCATACAGATACAAAACGGATACGAGAAAACTAGATAGTATTGAGAAAAATATAATTCATGTGATACAAAAGAGTCGTTAATATGTTCATTGTAACTGAAAAGTTAAGATTGGACATCTTGATCATTTGAAATTAACCATAAATCCATAATCTAATAATCGAAACTATCGTTAGAGTATGATTAATCCGTATTCAGATATTTCAGATATAAATACGGATATTTCACTACAAAACCATATCCGTAACCATATCCTATCGGTTATAGATTTGAGTAACCATATCCATATCCTAACGGATACGGTTACGAATATTTCCTCGGATACGGATACGGTTTAGCAACCCTACTACCAACTAAGCCACCCACTCGGGTTATATATAGGACACTATAAAATCATAGAAAACAATACGTAGAAAATTGATACAGTGGTTGTGAGTGGTCCCGTGCTAAGCAATGGGGGAAAACAACATAGAAAACAATATATAGAAAATCATAAAAGAGAAAGTTATGTGTATCTTATAATTAGTGTTTTTTTTTTAAGGATGGGAAACCAAATTCATATTATAGCTTATGAAGGAAACATGTCTGCTTGGATAAGAGGGTATACCGAACTCGGCACCTCCTCCACCCAAACTCTACAGCCATCTTATTATTAGTGCTAAATCACTATAAATAGTGTGTAAAAAGCTAATTAATGGAGCATTACAAATACTAAACAAATCATATATTTATTTGATATGTGTAACACTTTCTTTATTTAATTTTTTCCACCGAAAAATTTGGGAAGGAAATTGCGGTTTTACTTACCACCGGCAAGCAGATGGGTCCGACCCACTGGAAGATCTGACTGTATACATGCTGACGTGGGACCGCATGATGCGAGCCCGAATGTCGAGACCTCACGTGCCACTTGCCTCGCCCTGCTCTCCTCGGATTCCTCTCCCGCCTCTGCACGGGGTACGTGCGTCCAACTCCCAGACGCGCACAGCAAACAGCGTTTACAGCAAACCATAACGCTGCTCGTAGCAGAGTTTGCTCATGCTGAGGAGTCCTGGAGCTATTGTCGGAAATACCCTCAGCTCAACGCCGAGACTTCGCTATTTTGCTTTCCCAAGTTGAGGCCATTACAGTCTTTGCCGACTCTGCAAGTCAATCCTTAAGGGCTATTGTTAATAATTTAAAAATTGTTTCGTCTCACAAAAGAAATATAACATCATGTGAAAAGACTCATCACGAAACTTGAAAACTACATGCTAGTGTGCATCATATTGTTATATTTCTCTTTAAGTAAAAGTTCTAATATTACCCGCATAGTTTTATGTTGGTTTTATTTTTTCCCCACCATTTTTCATGAAAAATGTAAATACAAAAGAAGAATGTTATCAATAAAATCAGACCGCGTATTCTCTTTGATCCAATTAGATTCAGGCTAGCTTCCTTTTTCCATTTAACTACTTATTGGATAAATTGAAAAAAAAATGCACTAAAAGTTTGCCTGATTTGTAAAAGAGTACCTCTATTCTAAAACCGGGTAAAAAATGCCCCAAAGTATTTAAATATTGCAGATCAGCGCCAAAGTTAAAAAAAAATCCATATACCGTTAACTTTTCTCTATGTATCTAAGAATATCACATAACACAGGGTATTAAAGTGTAATTTTTAGAACTTTATGATATTAAAGTAAGGTTATTTGTAAACTGAGAGTATCTACATGCAACATTGGTTGAACAATAGGGCACTACCATGCAACGTTTATGCCCTGTTTGGATGGAGGGTAGAGAGGGGGAGGGGAAGAGAAATGAGGCTTTCACCTTGTTTGGGAGTTATTTTAAGGAGGGTAGAGAGGAGGAAGGAAGGGGAAAGAAGGGTAAAATTGCTTGGTTTTCTCTCCCCCCCCCCCCCCCCGATTTGGGCGGTAGAGGAGGGTAAAGGAGGGTAAATGGGTGTAATGACATTCTTACCCCCATCAAAACAAATAAAAGGGCTGATGTGTTATTAGTATAAAGTCATTTATGTAAATTTACATATATTTACTTCCTTTCACCTTCATTCACCTTACTCAACTCCCAAACAACATATTACAATTCTCTTCCCTTCCCTTCCCGTTGTTTACCTTTCCTTCCCTTCCCTTAATAAACTCCCAAACACACGTAAACAAGAGGACACCAAAGTATGACATTTTGAAACTCTGAGGCATTTATCCATAGTATTTAAATGCTTCGGGGCATTCCTTCGCTCGTTTTTAAAGTGGAGGTTAACTTCCGCTAAAAAGGAAAACGGTTTTTCTATAGAGTGTCCATCGGCATTCTATAAGGGAGGAGAGAGATAGAGAAGGATGAATAGCCCATGGGCCTCCCTGATTTGCATTATTTTTTGTGCATAATTCATTTCTCTCTATCTCTCTCCTCCCTTATAGAGGGCTCATGTGCTCTCTATAGAAAAACCGAAAGGAAAAAATATCTTTCCGATTTACAAATTTCAAACAGTAAAATCAGAAATAAAAGAAAAGAAAATCATTTGAAAACGCGCCCCGACGAAGTGCATTTAATTACAGTATCTCTCTCAAATTAAGTAAGTTCCAAGCGTATGATTTTTCTCCCTCTTCTTTATCATTTCCCCTCCTCGGGAGTTGAGTCCCACGCAATCCTTTTTATCTCTCCCTCTCTCTCTCTCTCTCTCAAAACCCGAACCCAAATGTTGTCGGAGCCAAACCCAAAACCCTCGAAAACAATGCGAAACCCGCATTCGGATCCCAACCCGAACCCGTTAATCGACGGCATGCGCAGTCCCACCGCCGCCGCACCGCAACCGCCGAGATCCGCCCAAAAAGGCGGCGCAGGCGCGCAGGCCGGCGGCACTCCGCAGCTCAGGTGAAGTTCAGGACTGCGGGTTAGATCCTTGTCGGGTTTCGGGTAAGGAGGAGGCTGTCTCGGTGAGGAAGCTCGCTGCTGGAGTCTGGAGGTCGGAGCTGCTGGAGACTGAGGTGGGGCCCGCTGCGAAGGTACGAGCTTTTCTTGTTGTGGGGTTTGAGTGGCACAGAAAGTTTGACTCTTGATTGGTATTCACTTTTGGGTTGTTGATGGTATGAAAAAGTTTGCATCTTGATTGCTATTTTTTATTCGGTTTATTGGGTTTGTTTTGTGGGGCTTGCTGTTTGGGAGGAGGTGGTTTGATTTTCAAATTTTGCCTTTTTTTTGTTATATTTTGTAGAATGTTTTTTTGGGGGGCTACTGTTATGTCCATCATTTAGTAATTTTAATGAAGCTAGAAGATGCTGGTAATGGATTTTTTTTAAAATTACCTTCATTCAGAATGCGTAGTTTAGTTGTTTATTGCTTATCAGCAATCATGATGCTATGTAATGTGATTCTCCATATTAATCCAGTTTTACTGTAATTCTCCTAAAATGTGTCACACTTAATGTGTATATTCTTTGTCGAACATTGTATTAATTTTTTTCCTTGGTCAAGGAAGAAGTTCTTGGTATCTCCCACATTCTCTAATCTTTGACTAATTGCTTGCGATTGCTTTGAAGTCGATATGAAATACTAATTGCCATATAGTAACAAAACGCGAAAATGTCTAGTTTAAGTTTACTATTTTCTCTCATCCATTTTTGTTCTCTCTTTACTTATTTCAGCCTAATATGATCCATCAACAACTGCCGCGCGGTTCAAAGCATGGATTTAACCCAAAATACGACATTCTACACAAGGTAGTAAACATTGCGATGCTTGTGTTTTTAAAATATTTCCCCCTTATTGTTTATCAAATTCTTAAGTTCTAGTTTAATTTGGTATTCAGCATCAATCTTCTGCTGACCCTTCAATGGAGAGGGCAACAAAATGGGATAGGAAATGCTTGAATCCATCTACTGAGGTCTATCAATCATTTGATCACTTGAAGCTTCTTGTGGACCACCAAATGATCCAAGCCTCTTCTGTCGAAAACAAGCTCAAGGCCGAGCTAGATTGGGCAAAGGCTCGTATATCCAAGCTCGAGTCCAAGAGACACTCTTCGAAGAAAAAGATGGAACATATCTTGAAAAAACATGCGAAAGAGAAGGCAACATGGAGAATTACAGAGCATGAGAAGATTCAAGCTGTCATTGATGGGATGAAAGATGATTTGTGCTTTGAGAAGAAAAACCGAAGAAGGGCAGAGATCCTAAATTCCAAGTTGATTGATGAGCTCACCGAAGCCAAGAAGTCGGCAAAGAGATTCTTTCATGACTATGAAAAGGAGAAAAAAGCACGAGAGCTCCTCGAGAATGTTTGTGATCAGTTAGCAAAGGAAGTTGGAGAAGATAGGGAAGAAGTTGAAGAATCGAAGAGGGAATCTATAAAAGCACGAGAAGAATTAGAGGAAGAGAAAAAAATGTTGCAAATGGCCGAAGTATGGCGAGAAGAGAGGGTTCAGATGAAGCTAATTGATGCTAAATTAGCTCTAGAAAACCAATGTTCACAACTTAAAATGCTTCAAAACGAACTAGAATCCTTTTTGAGATCAAGAAATCGTATTGACTTTGACGATCCTGAGATCAAAGAGGCAGAATTGCTAATTAAGGCAGTAGCTGAATCTGTTAAGATTCAAGAAATGGAGGAGTTCAGATACCAACCTCCACCGGCTTCAGAGGATATACTTTCTATATTTGAAGATATACAACAACGAGAAGAACCTAAAGACAGGGTAGTCGAGCAGTGTTCCTCTAAACTACATACAGTTAGTCCTGCAACTGACATTTTCTTAGCTAAGCCTACAAATTTTAGTGCAGAAGAAGATGATAGTGAGTGGGAAACTTTGAGCCGTGGCGATTTAGGCTCAAGCAATTCTCTAGAAGGCAGCGACGAAACCAATTGTGGGATTAATGATCAAAGCTTTGGCCAGCGTCCACTGACAATGTCAAACATTACAAAAAGACATCATCAGTTGAGGTTTCAAAAGAGAAGATTTCAAATGGGGGGGTGAACGATATAAACTTTAGTCCGTCAAATTTAGAGCAATGGAGCTCACCTGAAACGGTGAACCCTCATGTGACAAAGGGGATGAAGGGGTGTATCGAATGGCCACGGGGTGTTCAGAAGCAAAGCTTGAAGACTAAACTCATGGAGGCGAGATTCGATAGCAGCAAGGTTCAGATTCGCCATGTCCTCAAACAGAAAATTTAGCATCAAAGCTGAAGCCCTGAATTCTTACTGGATTTTCTTGGCATCCATCAGGTAAAAACTTAAGATTCGTTACGGTGCAAATCTTTGTAAAATGAAGGTTTTGGTAGGTATATTAGTTGCTTTATGATTAACCCTTTTGTAAATGAAGAAGAGGGCTGTTCAAGAACAAGTACCCTCTCTGTATTTCGTTCGTGTATCCCTATAAAACAAGGTTCTTCTATGTTGATGTTTCTTGTACCTTCATTCAATTTAAAATTCAAAGCTCAAACCTCTTTCATCAATCAGTATGATGTGAATTGAGAACTCCCATATACTGACCATGTTGTGTACTTGAAATGTATGTCCACAATCATTCTGGCAATTGCGTGCATAGGTTGATGTTAGCATGTGTTTTCTGTCTAAATGTTGGAAGATGACTGGATTGATTGCTTAGGTTTTGATTCTATGAGCTGTATCAAGAGGGAATCCTATGGGAGGAAGAAAAGAAGGCTTAATTGATGAAGTTTATTTTATTAAGGTCGATATCAACAAGGACATTTTTTGGAGACATACAAAGAAGCATCACAAATGTGACCATGTTGGTGTCAATGTTTCTAAACTATCGCGTGCATGTTCCCCTATGGCGATGCCCATGTTTGGTGGGCGAGGTGCAATGTCCCATCAACTCAATAGATTCTTGGATTTTTGTTAAATGCAAAATCTTTTTGGCTCCTTCCCATATTGTAAGATCAAAAAATGCTCTTTTATTTTTTATTTTATTTTTTGGGTTACCTTCTAAGCTAGTTTTGAGCTAAATCAGTTTAGTTCTAGGGTAGGAGAGGGCCAAAACAAAACAAGCCTAACGTCAAAACGTAAGCTAACAAAATCATTTCGAGTCACAGTCCAGTTTTTTTGCCCAAACTAGAGGCAGGACTCACTCTGGTTTTGCTCCACTGAACTAGTATTGAGTGAAGTTGTCATTTTCGTCGAATCAAAACTCAGAAATTGTGGTGAACGAACCAGTAAGGTTTATTAAGTTATACTGACCTAGATATCAAAAATAAACTCATTGCTAATCGTCACATGGGAATTATATAACAAACCCATGGGGGGGGGGGGGGGGAAGGGGGGGGGGGGGGGCGTCAAACCATTCGCCATGATTTCAGGTGGATGCCTGAAGAAGCACTGGGGATTGCCGGACTTGTAAGGTCCTCTGCTGTAGATTAGCTTAATTTACAACCTAGGTTCTTATCAACAATGTTGGTTGTTATGGAATTTTTAACAATATTTAGGGCTTGTTTGGATTGAGGAGAATGAGGGTGAAGGGAAGTTAGGGGAACCATTCACCTTGTTTGGGAACACTTAAGAGGTGAAGTTAATTCACCCTAGTTCCCCTTGGTTCACCCCCTAATAGTATAAAAATTGTTACCCCCAAAATTGGGGTGTAACCAAGGGGAAGGGAACTCCCTTCCCTTCCCTTCCCTTCCCTTCCCTTCCCTTCACTCAGTTTCCCTTAACTTCCCTTCACCCCCTACAAATCTAAACAGGCCCTTAGACTATTTAAGTAGTTAAAGCCATGTTATTTGCTGTTGGTTGTTATTGAATTTTTAACAATATTTACAATATTTTTAACAATAGACCGACAGCAAATTGTCTCCGACATTTTATGGTCTTGGATTTTAATTGCATGTATCCTTCAATTTTATGGCTTACATTACAGTATTGATAGCAGCTGCAAGAAAACTGTGTTAGTTGTGTTACTACAAAACCAACGGATTGAATTGCCACAAATTGAAACTGCAGTTGTAAATTATACGACGAAATAGTTATTATATATGTAATTAAATAGTTTGTGGCACATTAAATTATGATTCATTTCTATTTGATCTGAAGTATTTTAAAAAAAAGAGATCAACATTGCATCAGTTTACTACATACGTTTGGAGTTAAAAATTCCAAATAACCACTGTGGAAATTTTAACAGTACGCAGTTAATTGCAGTTTCCCATCGCAAATAAGTTATTTTGCACGAGATAATTCTTGTATAGCAATTTGAAGATCCTTATGCAGAGTATTTTTGTGGTGGTGTTTAATTACCGTACCTTTATATTATTCAAAGCATTCCTCCTTACTAGCCTGAAATATAACCTGAATCAAAGTTTAAAGCAGAATTTTAAAAATCATGACATCACCAGAAACATCATCACGAATCGCAAACATTTCTCCTTGTGACTGTTTTCTTCAAGTCCACAATTTATTGTATTTCAACACGACATCAATCGGTTACTGATTTATCAGAACATTCTATTCTGTAAAAGTTTTGATTTGTCCAGAACAAATAAAACTTCTTAACGCTTATCACAACATCAAACTCGACTTCTTCGATTGATACAACCTTTCATTGCCTCCAGCAAAATGAAGTGAGAAGACTCCTGCTATCTGTATTCTTGGAAATTCACATGGCCAGTAGCTTGTGCATGTTCCACTGCTTCCTGATTACCGAAAAAACCATATCTTCATTCATTAGTCTATAAATGAATGAATAAATGAAGCACATGAAAAAGGTAGAATAAGCAATAAATCAGGTAGTTTTTTGGGTTTGAAATAACCTTTTGGCCAATTAAACCAGCTTGGCATACCCCACAACGCAAGGTGAAATTTGCAGTATCGGTGTAACTCCTCTTTCTGAATTGGAGATCATGTGATGAATTAGAACTAGAAACATCTAATAAGGGATACTATGTAATTAAGGAATTTGATATGAAAAAAGGAACACTAACACATGAAAATAAAGAAAGGGAAAAAGAAAGGAAATAAACTAGTAATCAGCATTAACACTGGAATACTAGATTGCTGTGTGTGATCTTTCTTCTATGGAAAGTACTGTTAATTCTATTTTCCCAAGTGAACCACAGGGCATCTCAACATTAATGATTTTATGAGATTCAACTTATTTTAAGAGATCATTATAGTTCTGATGCATATAAATATATCCAACAGAACACAGGCAATTAACCAGATTAACAAACTTTTGGATAAATTTTTTACTATTAATAACAGCACATAGGCAAGTGTACCACAGGGCAGTCTTTACCCTTTTATAACTCCGAAGACAAAATTGATCTAATAAATGTTCTTCAGATTTACTGATCCTTTACTATTATTAGCCGTGTGTCTCTGTCTATGCATCATTTAGTTTCATGCGCTATTATATGAGCAACTAAGCAGAGTATCTAATGAATCAGAAGCAGTTGAAGCTTCTGCCACCTAATGATTTTGAAGAAAAAAACCCGACAATATCATAAGGGGGTTATTGGTGCCCTGAGGCTCAAGTACATAATGCCGCATAGAAGCTCAAGTATATAATGCATTAAAGAAGCTCATTTTAACTAGAAAGTTGATTTGAAATTCTTACCTGTTAGCATCTTTAACAAGATTTAGAGCAAGATTTTCTACAGCTCCAATTGTTCGATCTTTATTGACAGGAAAAATTGTTTGATCAAACTCTTCAGGTGCTCCTTCAGCTGGAGACATCTGAAAGATATTTATAGCAACTAAGCACTTAAACAATACGTTATCTAATCCTTTCTCTGTAATGATATAGTTAATAGCTTTGTTGAGGCCTCAACATGAAAACTTACAGCTAATGCATCATAATGAAGGCCATCATAAATAAGCATAACCCTTTCTTGATACTTCTTTTCCTGTTCCCATAAACAACCAATAATACATCATTGAAGGACTAGAGAGAAGATATATGGTTAAAGCATGCAGGCAACTAACCTGGCCATATAAATCACATCGTAATGTTTGAATGTCATATGCTGCAATTTCACGACCATAATATTGCGATAGTATAGAAAGCTCGATGGCACCTGTGACATCATAGCTAAAGGAAAATTAATGAATGCAAACAAATTTAATCATATGGAGGAAGGAAAGTGCTTCCTTCAGGAACAAAATTTGTCACATAGTAACTTGTGAAACAAACAACTTAAAAGAACATGTGTCAGAATGATACATGAGATTTAATATTAAAGCTACATCTTGAAAAGCTTTGGTAAATTGGTACGCCGAACAATTCATGCTTAAGAAAATTTAAGAAAACAATTGAGGACTGCAAAATCCATGTTATTATTGTACTAAGCTCCCAAATTTTGGGGATAAAAGCTTCATTGATGTTGCCTTAATTACTCAACAAGAGTGTTCGCATTGGTTTAGACTTCAAGAAGAGGTTCTTATACTGTCCCTTATATTCCTTCTTGTTATTATCGTACTAAGCTCCCAAATTTTGGGGATAAAAGGTTCATTGATGTTGCTTTTATTACTCAACGAGAGTGTTCACATTGGTTTAGACTTCAAGAATAGGTTCTGATACTGTCCCTTATATTCCTTCTTTTTAATTAATGTCATACAATTTTTTAATTGCTAAAAAGAAATGCATATTGAACCTCACCTCCCCACTTCTCAGGATCCAGAATCCAAGTACAGTATTCCTCATTTGATTTGCCAAGAAATGCTTCATTATATTTAACGGGATCACTCGCCACTGTTGCAGCTATAACCTTTAGGAGAAAGAGAGCAAAAAAGGTTTTTTTGTAAGCAGTTATCGATAAAAGGGACAATCAGTAATGGCTAGCACGTGATAAGAATAACACAAGATAATCTTTTTTTTAAGTAAAAACAGAAAAGGACAATAAAGTTTTCCAGATTATAATCTGCTGCATTTGTTTGAATATTATCAAAATGGTTAGATAATTGTGTCACAATGCTCAGATTATTCCAATTTTCTTATCTATGTATGACATGGGACGCAGATGGTCTGACATCCAAATAAACTGACCTAGAATATATTAATCATTTCAAACTATACATCAAGAAACATTTTAGTATTTTACCTAATAAAACTTTCTCGTTTTAAAACTACTAGAATATACCACTCATGCATGGACGATTGAAACCTAGGTTGCTTGGAAAAAGGTACAGGTACGGTGCGAGTATAGGACATGGCAAAGTGTAAAATGCAGGGTACGGGGAAACGACCAAATACAACTAAATTAATAATTTACATAAGATCATTATTTTTCTTCAATTCATGTATTATTAGGACTAAAATTCCAATCCAATTTTTAGGTTACATTTGTTATGTTGATTATTATAAATTGGAAACTGCTTGTTTTTCAACTAGACACCGTCTATTTAAAATCATAGTTATGAACTTGGTATAGGCTAAAATGAACCCAACCCATGACTAACGAGTTTCAAAAATGACGCAAAATGTAGAATATACGTCCGAGTATATTGCAAGTGTTCTAAACTGAAACATCTACGAGCACGTCTGAATAGTTGCATGCATATATCCAAGGAGTGTCCATGAAGTTTTGGTATGGATACGGGTCGGGTACGAGCTTCATGATAGAATCATAAAACTACCCAGGTAATGTAGACTGAAACACAGATTTAGATATAAGATTCATTTTCTTTGCAGCCAGAGATGGAAATGTTAAGATCTTAACCGGGCACTACCTGTATACTCTAAATTCTGTGTATTTTAATTTGTAAGCCATTGAAGACTATTGAAGACATAATTGGATACTAAACTGATACTTCAAATCATATGTATGATCATGTAACCATCAAGTTGCAATAATAACATTTTGATATGTAAGATTTCAGAATGTATTAGGCATTTGATTATCGAAATGAAAGGTTGACAATATGATTGTACGTGCATGTATATAACATAGTAGCATCCACGATATATTTTGATAGCTCCAATGACTCAGTATTTATGGTATGTAGCATTTAAGATAGGCAAGTAACATTACTAACATTAAACTGTGACCTACAGTACAAATTTTCGTTGCTATGTACCGTGTACTTCGTGTTAGTTTCTAGGAAATTTCTTTGGTCAGTGAAGAAACTCATGAAAAATTAGTAGTTTCTCTTGCAATGTTTTATGGCCAAGTATGTTTATTTAGCTCATTGGCTTATTATGTCCAACAAAGAATCCACGAATGATATGTTTCAAATTTCGTTGGCCTATTATGATCCAACAAATAACACAATGGCAAACCTTATCCTTTTTTCCCTTATCATCATGACTTTCTAAGTCCAGAAGAAATTTGAATGTTTCTACTGGCAAGTTATTTTTAAGTGATCCTTAAGAGAAAAGAAAGTTTGCAAATTTATAAGCTTATAGTCATCAAGGCAACTAAATGGAGTTACATCACATGAAAGGAGGAATATGCAAAATGAAAAGTAGGAAAGCTTAGAGCATGAGTAATTTGAAGAGAATAACTCCAAATTGAGAAATGCATTGATAATAAGAAATCAGTGATATTTTGCTAGGGGGCGTAGTACTAAAGAACCTGTTCATTGACTTCCGAAAAATGAAAAGAAGAGAAGAAAGTGAATTAATGAAGTGCCGAATTACTAAATGTATTGCTGTATTTCTGGTATGATTGGCTGAGTGTTTACAGCAATAATTGCATAGTATGAAATATAATTTTTCTAATTTTTTTCCTTTGGAGAATACTTAACAAAACAATATCAGTACACATGGATTTATTTATATCTGAACTATATAGCATATAGATTGTAACGCTCATCAAAAATTTGGAAGTAATGACCAATAATATAGAAGGTATTCCCTAATGTAAAACTTGTGGAGACGCCTCCTGAATAGAGATTCAGACTCAAATCTAGTATGGATTGCATAAAAAGCATATGCGCAAGGGCACATGCATGATACTCATTGGAACTTGGTTTACATGATTGGAGATTTACAACATACATAAAGTAGCATGTGTATGGTTTATTATTATGAACATTGAGGTTACATTGTATTTTATCCTTCTGCGGAAAGAATTTGTTCAGAACTTAAGATTTATTCTGTACTGTCTATATGAGAGCTAAAACCAAGTAGGATTGCTTTCTCTTTCCAAGTTTTTTATGCATGTCCAAAATGCATCTGTATAAATGCAGTAAAGACTTGATAAGCCTCAAAAACATGTCCCACACTATACTAGCTGCTTAGATCAGACCTATTAGAGTCAATTTAAGAGCGCTATTTAACCCCATTCAGTCAAATTAGTCAAACATTTGGCTCCTTATATTAATGATATGAACCTTAAGACATTTTTCCAAAAACAAGGAAGTAATGATTTTAGGATGTCTATTAATAATTTAAATGAGCATATATAGTAATACATAATGGCTATTGTTGTATCTGTATTGTGCCCGTGTCCTATTTTGATTATGGAAGGCATCGTCCTATCCTGTGATATGTCAGACATTTTCCAAGAAAAAGATTGACATGTCTGATTTTGTAAATGGTGTTTTTATCATATACTTGGCAAAAGCTAAGTATTTTGTGAATTATTTTACTAAAATTAGGCTCTTCCATATGTAAATAGCAACAGGTACCTACAAATACAAGCCAGGTCATAGTAGAAAACCACCAATCCAAATTAAAGAAACAAAATCTAGTAAAGCACTATCTATCAGAAGAAAATCACTGATCAAAATTAAGAAACTGCATAAAAGGAGAATTTTGCAACAAGAAAACAATCCCATTTGCAGATAGATATCTTCTCTGCATGAAACTTGTATACAGTATTCAACAGATTTTCAATATCCTTGAGATGAGCAGAGGCCATCGAAGCAGCAAACAACTCTCTACTGCCAAATGGCACATCAAGATATCTAACTTCTAAGAGCACCTTTCGCTACATGAAGAAATTAGAGCCATAATTTCCAAGAACTGATGAAAATAAATTTAAGTTCATGACAGCAGGCAATCAAATGCATAATAGTCATTTTGTTCTGAATTGAAATTCAAAAAAGGCATAAATAATATAGTATGTAATAAACTCTCATAGTTAATTGTGGAAGCACCAATTTTAGAAGATAGTTAGATGTTGGACAATGATTGTTATGCATGTGCATTAACAATGAACTTCGACATTTTAACTGGAGTCCCTAGCCAATGGTAATCAATCAGGAAATGCAAGCCAACAAGACAAATATACCCAAAACAGATATAAAAAGCTTAACACTTGGCACAGGATTCACAATTTTCATGTACATAAGTATTGAATGGCCAATTAAGGCATTCACTAGGAAGCATTAAGTGAGGATTGAACTTTGTTGACAGATGATCAACAAGAAACCTGTCTTAATTCGGCAGCCTTTTGCTTGTCATGATCCATCACATATCTGAAATATAAAATGGGTAAATACTTTAATTGCCCTACACATTGAAAATTCTTTAGGCAATAGAAACTAGAGCATTGTTGATACTCACCCAACAGCATTGAAAAGACAACTATTATCTGAAGGAATTACTCTCCTCACAACGGTACCTTCCATTTTATTAGATCAACACCTAAAGGGAAAGCAACAAACGAAAAGAAAAGTTACCTCAGTTCTTAAAAACAAAAACAAAAAAACACCCATATTAAAAAGGGATATCCAGAGCACACAAAAGTTACCACAGTTCTTAAAAATAAAAACAAAAAAACACCCATCTTAAAAAGGGATATCTAGAGCACACAATAAGTAACTTCAGATAGCAAATTAACAGAATAAAAGAGACTTCTTTATAATAGCTCATGGATGATTTGCATCCAGAATTCCTCCGAGAAACATAATAAATGGATCTCGCAAGGAACATGAGTTTCTAAAAGAAATTCTTGGCCAGAGAGCTCTTTGACATTAATAGCACAAAATTTGCATCTAAACACTACATGAATAGTGCAAACACAAGGAAATGAGACCCTCAACTACAAAATATTAGACTTTCGAGTTCCAAAGCTTACAGAATTCTCCTAACGAGGCAAAACATGGAATTGGCTCCTTCAAATGTATCAACTTTTTCCTGGTGAATGTTGTTATTAATGGTTTATCTGTTAATCTTCTAATGAAATTGTTTAATCGCTTGAATAGCAAACTTGAGAGAGAATTTCTAGTAACCGACACTACAATCAACATCAGTCCCTTAGCCAGAGACAACATTCGGAGCCCCTCCCATCTAATTTCTCTATTGACAAATGCCAGTAATTAATCTTTTACTAAATTATTTTGCTTAAGCTCCCAGTTCATTATAATTTCCAATCTTAACTAAAAAGAATCAGAAAGATATTTACATCATAGTTAAATCAATTTTTATCCAAATAAAATCTCAAACCCCAAACGAATAGAATCAATATCTTCCCTTTAAAGCTTACGGGAATTCAGTGCAATATTCTTATTTCCAAACACATCTTGTTGTATTATAATTACATTACAAACTCTTATATTTATTTATTTTCAACATACAGCCAAGATGCAGATTGAAGAAATAAATTCCTCGAAAAAATTGAGCAATAATCTACAGTATTATCCAAGCTAAAGTATATTTCTTCAAACAAATCAAAAAAATAAAAATTAAATTTTTAACAAATAGACAACAAAAAAAAACCCAAATCTTCCGAAACCAAGATTTAGATTTAGAAAACAAATTTTTATTACTTATTCTTGCCACAATTTTTTTTTTCCCAAATCAAATCTAAGCTGAATCTAGACCCAGCTTAGAAAAGAAAGTTCTGAAAAGAAATCAACAGACCCAAAAATAAACAGAGGAAAATTGACAGAAGCACGCTGAGAAACTCACCAAAATCTCTGAGGTCTGGACCGTCTTGGGTCCGTTTCTTTTCTCCTCTTTTATCTGAAAAAACGAAGAAAAGTTAAAAAAAAACGGAAAATTATGTCAAGGTCCCAAATTCTAACTTTCAATGTGCATGTGCCCCAGCCCCCCATGTTTTTTTAATGTATTGTAGCCTCTTCTTTTTAAAAAAATTATGTCCAGGCCCTTCTATCATGATTCCAGCTCATGCCGGTGGATGATTAGACATGTCAGCTCATGATTAGACATGTCAGCTGGCTTAAATCCTAAATTTAGCCTCCTCTTTTTCATGTCAGCGGATGTTAACAGTTAACATGTTAACTATTACAGTTAACATGTTAACTATTAATAGTTAACATATTATCTGTAAAGAGTTAACACGTTAACTATTAATAGTTAACATATTATCTGTAAGAGTTAACATGTTAACATGATAACCATGACCGCTGCCGCCCACGCGAAGTTCCTCTGGACGCGCGGCGATAGAACGGGGAGGGAGGGGGGGGGGGCAGAGGGGGACCGGAGGAGGAGGAGGGGTGCTAAAGGGGATGCAGCGAGGGAGGGAGCGGAAGGAGGGGAAGGGGAATGAAGGGCGTGGCGGGGGGGGGAGGCGGAGCAAGGGGAGGGAGAGTGGGGGAGCCGAAGAGGGAGGCTGGCGAGTTCTTGGGAAGGCTCCGGCGGTGGAAGCCGTCGGGAGGGAGGCGGAGCTGGGGAGGGAGGTGAGGGAGGCGGTAGAGGAGGACTGAAGGAGGAGGAGGGTAAAATCGAGATTTTGGATGGAGTTTATATTGGAACTTGGGGAGAGGGGTCTGGGCATAATTTTTTTCAAAAAAATAAGGCTGCAGCACATTGTTGAAAGTTAGGGGGGCTGTGACACATTAAAAATTAAAATTTGGGGCTTTGAAGTAATTTTCCCTAAAAAAAAGTTATGGGCGTAACGTTCTAGCTTTTATTGCGTAATCATGACAAGAATCCAGGCAAAATCTCATGAGAAGCACGCGCAGAATTGCCATGTGATATTTACTTTATTACCCTTCTGACTGAAGGCCTGGATTCTTTCAAGCAGGGGAAGGTATGTAAATTTTTTTTTTAGGTTGGAGATAATTTGTTATTTGTAAATTTTGATATTTATGGAAAACTTATATGTAAAGTTAGATAAATATGCAATTTGTGACGTACTAATAAAAAGTTGATTCTGTTAACTCTCACTCTAGCCGTTGGATTTGGATCTTGTTGACGAGCAAATGAGCAAAATCATTTTTTTAATGATTTATTTTGGATATATTGACCATGTGAAATGAATAAGTAGCTAGAATGAGTGTACTAATATTGGGATAAATTACCACAGTTGATAAAAAAGGTTACAAAAGCAGATGGTCAAACATGAGTTTTAAAAATTATGCTAATGAGCTAGTTTATTAATTAATACTATACATCCCAAGCTACATCAATGAAATCATTTCGATTTTAGGAGTCCAACAAATGCAATGATTAGCTTTGTTGAAGATCTGCAATATTCGCTAGCTCTCTAGGAGTGCACATTTTATTGGATTCACCCAATAAAATGAAGCCATCTAAACCATTCGCAGCTATTTGTGAGGTTAGTCTGAAAATTTTAGCTCTTCTATTAATAACGCAAATCATCTTAGGGGCTATTTGTTTCGCTGAGAAATTGAGAAAAGGAGATCATAGAATCAGACACACGCATGTGAGGGTGTCATATTTCCCAAAATAATTCATTTCTTCTGTTTTCTTGAGAGAGGGAAAAAAAAGATAGATTGTGCATGTAAAACTCACCCACTATAGAGGTAATATTCGTTATGGGCCCCAAAATAAAGGAAAGCTGTTTTAGCAAAAAAAAAAAAGACTAAAAATAGGCTTGAAAAAAAAGAAATAGGTCCCACAACCTATTTTCCAGACTTTGGAAATGAACCAAACAGACCCTTATTTTCATCGCGGCGATTCCGATCAGACCAGTGTACTCAATAGAGTAGTGACCTTTAAGACAAAGTATTCAAGATGAATCCACCACCATCTGAACGTCGCTTTTAGCTTTATAGCTCATATTCAACTAAAAAGTAGGGATTTATCAAGTAAAAGCATCAGAAATTTATTTGATCCAATCAGGATAATTTTCCATGACTTAAAATTGAAACTACAGTTAATACAACATAGGCATGTACTCCAGCAAAGAGAATGGAAAGCGGAAAAACAAACAGAACTAATCCAGCAAGAATTCAACTACACCCTGTGTCCTCTGGGATGAACAGTACAATCATCAGTTGCTGAGAACAGAATCAGAGGCTCGTTCTCATGAACTCAAAACTAGCACTTTCTTCACTCAAAGCTTTTATTTTTACGGAGTTCAGGTGAGAATGTCAAAAGGAAGTAGCTTTATAAAGCTGCGATGCACTCAATCTCAATCTTTGCGTCCAATGGAAGTGCAGCTACTTGGTAAGTTGATCGGGCTGGTGCTGGCGATGAGAAATCTGCACCATCAAAAATTGAATGTGTTAATAAAAACATATTATTACAAATAATGAATAAGATGGAGAGTTTGCTGGGTTTTTTTTTTTTTGGGGTAACCAAAACGTGCGTATATTTAAGAGTCAAATATTTTTGTTTGATGAAAGGACAAATACTGTGAGCAAAAAACATTTGCCTGTCAATAGAAGAAATATCTAATAAAATTGGGGGGAAAAAAGATTTGTATGACTCTAGGAAACTCACATTTTCCATAAATTTCATTAACTTTCTTGAAATCCTTTAGATCAGCCAACCTGCAAAAAAGGTGATTTTATGTAGCCAATAAAATTTTCACTTCTCAGTTAATCTCAAAAGTGAAAAATAAGATGAGTCAATGAGAAACTTTTTCCTACATGATTGTTGTCTTGACAACTGAGGAATAACCGGCGCCGCTAGCTTTCAGAATTTCTCCCATATTCTTCAGAACCTACAAATTATCAGACAACCAAATCATAATCAACCATATAATAGATACTCACTTAGCAATGTGCCTTCGAAAATGAAAGTACGTGGGTTTTAATAATATGCAGCATCATAGACGTGATTTCTGATCACCATACATCATCTGAGAAATGATGAGCATACAAGGATTGTTTTTCCCTTCACTGAGCTCAAATGGATGTTACCCTTTGGATGACTTTATCTATGTTGGTGAACTTGGTAAGACAAAATAAGAGCTAAGAAAACACAGCTCAAGCCTAAAGAAAACATTTTAGATCAATTTTAGAACAGAAAGTCTAAAGAAAGAAAAAAGGGGGGGAAATAAAAGAAAAACAGAAGTCTGCTCAGGCCCTATAAGTAGCCATATATTAGAATTAATTAAGGGGCTTAATTTACAAAAGGTTTATAAACAATAAAGACTAAAGGTTCTAATCTGAACTTTCAATTGGAAATATAATGTTAATGCGTTCCAAGGTTAACTATATTTCACCGTCTTGTGCAAAGAATTGTTCCTTTACTGCTTAATAAACACTAATCAATGCTCTCTAAAATCACCCAACGGGAATGAGTTGAACAGTTTAAAAGGAAAAAATGCAAAAATTCCCCAACCTCTCCTTGTAGCATAAAACATGCTCTAGTAAGGTCAGAAGGCTTGTCTTACATGACTGTTAATAAGACAAGAAGGGTATAAGCTTTATTTTATCATTATTCAGAAGTGATGGCTAATTAAACCATGTGAAGTCACGCTACCTAACTGAATATTTGATGAAATTTGGCAACAAAACAACCTGTAGGATACAAAGCTAAAGACATCATGAGCTAAAGAGTGTCCCTACATAAATTACACATTAGACATAACCTTTAGCTTGTGAACTTCAGGCCTGCATGTATCTGTAATGATTTCCCTTATAACATTGAAACTTGGAGAGTTGAAGAAAGTGAACGATGATATGGAAGTATTTAACACACGAGAATTTAGGGACAGACATACCATACGTGATAAAGCAAATGATATGTATTTAGTTACTTAGAACGGGGATTGTTAGCTTGCGAGACTGCCCATGATGCTAGAGTGAGCAACAAGCTGCATAATACCGCGTAACTTTCTCATTCTTTTGAGATTATTAAAGAACATGGTGACAAACCTGGTCAAGAAAGTAGGCTCCGAGAGGGAACAAGCCTGGTTTAGGCATCTAACCAGGATAATTTAGGTTTCATCCAGAAATAGAAAATAAGTAAAGTAATTTTTAATAAATAACAAAAAACCTCTCCTCCATGGCACGTTATTCTTCATTTAAACTAGGCATACTTTGGCTGGAAACAGCCACTTGGTTCTCTCCCAATAAGAGCGGACAATTATTTCTCTAAATTGGCTTGTTCCTTCATTGAAAGTTGAAACAACATTGAGTATCATCCATGAACAAAATCACCAACACTATTTGTAGAGAAATTTGCAGGTGGAATTTAAGGCCCTTAAAGGAAATCCTGCAGTACTAGACTGATAGATTGCTGGATTGGTCTAAAATTTTCTTCATCATTAAAAAAAAAGATGGTATAAGCGGAGGGAAAACCATTTCGTTTTTTAGATAATTGACGTACGTAGGGGCATTCTCGCAGATATATATATAAACTGCAAGGTACAGATGCTTTCAACAAGTGCCCTGATTGAGCTACTCTCAAATCATGTATGAAAGAGAAAAAATTGTGACGCCAATCCTAATGGATTGAAGACCATACAAACAAGTATACAAGCTTACAAGTAGTTTACCAAAAGCGAAACACATAACTTCTACATTAAGTACACAGATTTCTGTTACCTGCTCAGTTTGATCTTCTACAGTATCGGACACAAACTTTCCCGTCTGCAAATGAAATGGCAAAGAATTAGTGTGTAGATTCGGGTATGACACATTGATGGAGTGTGGATCACCATGGTATCCATCTGATGTATTCTAAGATTACAGAGAAAGAACAAACCTCGGGAACAAGGCCGAGTACACCGGAGACAAACACCAGGTTATTAGCTTTAATTGCCTGAGAGTAAGGTCCCAATGCTGCAGGCGCCTTTTCGGTTTGAACAACTTCTTTCTTATCTAATCTCGAGATATAAGCCAAAATTAGTACTTGATGCCAAGCAACCAAATGAAATGCATGTAAGGTAAGAGTAAAGGAGATATACTGCTGAATTTATGGCAAGAATCTGAATCAAACTTGTTATGCTGAAAGTAAAGCATAAAACCGGAAGCGAATCAAAACTAGATGTGAAGTAGAAGGATAGTGCCAGACGAAAACACCACATGTTAAGCTATTTACTTTTAGAAAAACAGGCAGAAAAGTCGGCGGTTCTCTCTACTTAACAATCTAGTAGATTTAATAAGCAGGTAGAACCTTGGATAGTAGACTAGGATGCAGATTCAAGATCCTCTTTAATGAAAAACAGAAATATATATATATATATATATATA